AGGACCGAAGAGCGCGGGGAGGATTATACGGGAGCAGGCGGTCCCTGAAGGTGAGAAACCTGTGAACAACCCTGTAATACACTTTTTGTATAGATGGTGCCACCGAATCCAGTATTCCCTGCATTATGATCCTCTCCCAAGCTGCTACAGGCTGTCTAGGAATTCTGGAGTGAAGATCCAGCCTTGGTACTAAAGTTTCAAATCTATCCTTCTGAAACAGGGACAGTGAATTGTTGGTTCCATTGTCCAGTCCTGGAACATACCAAGCTGAGAAGGTTATGTTAGCAGACAAGCCATGTAAACAGAAATCTCCTCACTCTAGATTCCCTTTCGTGTCTGAGTGAACCTGCAGTTTGGTTCCCAGCTCCCACAATGCCTGTCACAAGAAGACCTCACTGTAATTTTCCAGGAAACTGTAAATCCTTCACTCCCTGATTGATCCTGATCCAGCTATGGGGGCCTTGACTCTTGCTGTGATCTTGGTTAGCCTGGCACAAAAGATTTGTCCAGGGGAAACTACCTTGCATGAAAAGTTAGGTGCCCCATGAGGGCTTTCACTTCTTTCACCGATGCATAGTAACAATGTCTTAAGCCTCTCCTGCAAAACTGACAGTTATCTGATGGCAAAGAAGAGACTCCTGTTGCACTGAGTCCAGCCTAATATCCAAATAAAGTAGCAATGTAGAGGAGCCCTCCATCTTTTCCTCCATTAATGGAACACCTAATTCCTCTGCCAATGACCGTGGTGGTCTTTTATACTGCTTCTTATTTTTATTCGGTTATTTATTTTGTGGAGTGGCCTGTTCTTAGAACATGCCTCTATTTGTCTTGAAACAAAATGAAGTAAGCATTCAAAATAAGTGATAGTTTTTACTATTGTAAATATCATGTATGTTTTGAACTTTTCAAATCTTCACTGTATGTGCTAAAATGACAATGTGTCTTTCAGGCATCTGTGTCACATTGGATGGAGTCCCCAAACTGGTTTTGCTGTAAGTAGTTGCTGTGGCATAGCCACTAGGGTTTTATCATTTATCCTTATTTGACATGGTGGCTGCTAAAGCAAATACAGTCACCCCTCTGTTCTCACAGACTTCAAGTCTGTGGTTTTATATTCACGGAGGGGCAACCTCAGTTTAAATCAATGGAACATGCCCCTGTGGGGGCACACCCCATTCAAGTCTATAGGGCTTGATTGTTCACTAATCTCCTTTTTCATGGGGGGGGAGGTCTGGAACGGATCCCCTGAGAAAACGGAGGGCCAACTGTACTGACTTTGTTTTCTGTTAAACTTAAATATTCACTTTAGGTATCTGAGACTTGCACTCCAAGCCTTATGCTGCAATCTTTTGCTTGCTTCCTTAAGAAAGCACTTCTGTTTTTCACTAAATACAGTGGGATTTACTAATGAACAAATGTACATTTGTTGCTAACTGTCCTTGGGTTGGCCTTGACTCATGGTGACTCTCTGAATGAGACACTTCCAAGCTCCTCTG